GGGTCTCGAACCCGCGGGCTCAGGCAATCCACTCATCTCAGCCTCCCAAGGCACGGGATTACAGGCCGAGCCACTGAGAGGCTTTTATTTCAAGGCTATGATATTTCATCATTTTTTGTTTTGTTTTGTTTTTTGAGTTGGAGTCTCACTCTGTTGCTCAGGCCAGAGTGCACAGTGGCACACTCACAACCACCCCAGCAGCGACCTGCTGGGCTCAGGCAATCCTTCTGCCTCAACCTTCCAAGTAGCTAGAACCACAGGTACGTGCTACCACACCCGGCTAATTTTGTGATTTATTGTAGAGATGAGATCTCCCCAAGTTGCCCAGGCTGTTCTTGAACCCGTGGGTTCAGGCGATTCCCTCACCTCGGCCTCCCAAAGTGCTGGGATTACAGGCTTGAGCCACTGCACCCAGCCTCATCATGTTTTTAAGTCTTCTTTTTCACTGCTCAAGGACATGTCATGCAAAGGACAGTCTGTGTAGCCACAACCCTGCATCCCAGGGAATCTGGACCAAGTTCTGCCTGCCCTTGGGCTTGGCGATGGAACCTGGCTCAATCTGAGGGCAGGAGAGTCACTTAAGGACCACTATGGGCATGCTCCTTGAAGCTGGATTCAAAATCCTGAGAGCTGGAGTCAGTTCATCCACATTGGCAGCAACCAGAATCCAAGCTGTTTGGGACTCACACCAAATTCCATAAAATTTGTATTCTTCAATTCTCTGTATTGGTTCCATACTAGTCACCAAGAAAGCGTTAAAAAAAAAAAAAAAATCATTGTGGCCAAGTGTGGTGGCTCACACCTATAATCCTAGCACTTTGGGAGGCTAAGGCAGGAGAATTGCTTGAGCCCAGGAGGTGAAGACTAGCTTGGGCAGCATGGTGAGACCTCGTATCTACAAAAAAATTTTTTTTAAATTAGCCAGGTGTGGCTGTATGTGCCTGCTGTCCCAACCATTCAGGAGGCTGAGGCAGAAGGATCACCTGAACCCAAAAGGTTGAGGCTGAGGCGAGTCGCGATCATACCACTGCACTCCAGCCTGGGTGACGAAGTGAGACTCTGACTCAAGAAAAAAAAAAATCATCAGTTACTAAACCGTGGGCCATTGTCCTCTCTTCCATGGTATGGCTCCCCAGTCAACACAACCTGCTGGCTATTTCAGGGTGGGAGGGGCACCCATGCTTTTCCAGAAGAAAATGTGTTTCACAGCAAAACACAGTTCTCAGCCTCACTCCCTACCCCCATAGGGCAGGATCTTTGATGTAACATTTATACTCCTAACTCCTGTGCCCTCATTAAAAGACAGTGACCACCCCACCCCACGTGGCCCTGAGTAGACACGAGGACACATTCAAAAGATCCCTCAGTACTGAAAGCCATCACAGCAGGGTCTGGACGTACTTGCTGTGGCCACCAACTGCTTTTGGGGCAGCTGAGCATACCTGGCCTCCATGACAGTGACTGGAATTTTCCCCGTGTGCTCAAACACCACGATGGCCTTCTCAACATCCTGAAGCGCTTGGCTGTGGGGCTGGTTCCCATATAGGGAGGATGGGAAAAGAACAGAAGATGCAACAGTGAACAGAAAAGGTCAGCTGCTGGGCTTTCTTGCAGCAGAGACACTGTACAAACTAAAGTAAAAGGCCCACATGACCGGTGCCCCTGGAGTCTGGGGCACTCACATCAGTTCTCTAAACACCCAAGCATGGCAGGTGACACTGGCTGTTTTCTTTTTTTTGAGTTGGAATCTCACTCTGTCCCCCAGGCTGGAGTGCAGTGGCACACTCGGCCACCACAGCCTCGACCTGCTGGGTTCAGGTGATCCTTCCACCTCAGCCTTCCAAGTAGCTGGAATTATAGGCACGCGCCACCACACCCAGCTAATTTTTTTATTTATTGTAGAGATAAGGTTTCACCAAGTTGCCCAGGCTGGTCTTAAACTCCTGGACTCAGGCAACCCTCTCGCCTTGGGCTCCAAAAAGTACTGGGATTACAGTTTTGAGTCACCACGCCCGGCCTGACACTAGCTGTTTTCTACGCTCAGAAAACTCAGCCCTAACAAAGTGGGGCCCTCCTGATGACAGCTCAGCTCCATCAGGAGGGCTCCTTGCTCCTCTATCTGGCTATGAGCCTCCCTGCCTCTCCTTTCTGCTGCGCCCTCTAAAGGGACAAAAGGTTGAAATGAAAGATTTCCAGATAGAAAGGAGTATAGACTTAATTTTTCAGATTTAAAAAAATTAGGAAATGGCAACTTACGAAGAGCAATAAATTTTAAATAGAAAATGGCATTAAATATTTTCACTTAACACTTTAATGTCATCCATAAGTATTCTTAAGCAACTCACAACTTTAAAGTAAGGGTCTTAAAAAGTTAAGAAGGGCCAGTGCAGTGGCTCACGCCTATAATCCCAGTACTTTGAGAGGCAGAGGTGACAGGATTACCTGAGCCCAGAGATTCAAGACTAGCCCAGGCAACATGGCAAAACCTCGTTTCTACAGTAAATCAAAAAAGATAAGCCAGGCTTGGTGGAGTGTGCCTGTGGTACCAGCTACTTGGAAGGCTAAGGCAGAGGGATCTTCTTAGTCCAGCAGGTCGAGGCTGCGGTGGCCATGATGGTGCCACTGCACTTCATCCTGGGTGACAGTGAAATTCCAACTCAAAAAAGAAAAAGTGAGAAGGTTGGTTTTTGATGGTGACATATACACATCATACAGCCATCTGGCTTATGTAAAAATGGTTAACGCTTTTATGTAATTCAGAGAAAAACATGAAAGGCCACCTCTTCCATTCAACCCCTTGTAAACTGAGATCTCCTAAAAGGACAAACTTACTGTAGCACAAGGTATTTCTTCCCTATACACCGTAACTCTGGATGAATGCCATGAACACACAACATGGGGTACCACAGGACAAACAGCCTCGAAATCCCTGACCTAGTGGCATCTGAGGCACACCAGTTACAAGACGTGAAGGCTGCAACTGTCAACTCAAAGAACATTGGGTCTGCACTTGGTGGGCATGACTCTGAGACCCCACAGGGCTGGCCCGAGGCAACATTACCTCTGTGATGTCCACTGCTGATGACAAGTCCTCATAGAGTCCCATGTTTTCTATAGAAACCTTCAGAGAAGGGACAGAACAAGAGCTTGAAACAAAAGCAGGCACATCTCTGTCAGGACAGCCTGAGGAGCAGAAATGAGAGGTGGGCTTGCCTTAAGGTCCGCCAGGCGTGTCTTGGCCAGGGAGACGTAATCCGTGAGGAGGGAGCGGTATCTGGCTGGTACTAATGGCGGGTGGAGGACATGCACCTGAGGACAGACAGCAGAGTGTGGCGACGATAGTGCAGGCACCATTTAAGATGCCAACCTTCACAGCCAGGATGAGCAGAGATGGCCTCCCAGGAGGCTTGTACGTAAGCACAGCACATCATCAGCAAAGCCAAACCCACAACAGAAGGCTATTTCCCCAGGCAAAACATCCAGGAATTTGAATGCAGTTGGTCTCACATGTCTTGGAGTCATGGGGAAGCCAAAGATGTACATGCACAGACCCCACAGGCAGGCACTGGATGGTATACCCGCAGCTCCTCACCCCATGACTTCTTGGCCAAAGGGGGACACCAACCACCACACAAAAGTGGGGTCTACACTGACATCAAGTTTGTGGCACTGGCAGAATGGAGTCAGTGAACCAAAAAGTGCACTTGAGTAGGACACCTGGATGTCTGGACACACTGAGTTTGAGTTCACAAGGAACTGACGACAGGTACCAAGGGGCCTTGTGAGGACCAAGGCCAGGGTGTCGTGCTCCAGGCAAGATGTGTGTTCTGAAGACAGTCAAGTCAGAGAACCAACCAAAGACAACCAGGACACAGGCTGTGGGGGAAGGCGGGGTCTGAGAAGGGTCTCCACGTTCCCAGGACTCTCCCTGCAAAAGTGGGCCATGCTAGAGATGGGTCAGGGAAGGCTAGAGATCCTGTGGTGACCAAACTTCATGGTGACCAAGTCCCTTACTCCTCAGGGTGGGGACTGTGACACACAGAGGGGTTCAGGACAGGAAGATGGGCACCCCAATGCTCTAGTTATCAGACATCGTTTTGCCTTAAAGGACTGCTAACTGTGGCCACAAAAACAGTGCTGCCCGGGGAAGACAGGAACCAGGAATCAGGGCAGGTGGGGAGGAAGGGCCTAGTCCTGGATCCACCTGGTGCTGGGTACACACCTGTCCGTTCTTTGTACATTATACCATATACGCTCTTTGAAATGCAATACAATTTGGGAGCCAAGGTGAGAGGATTGCCTGAGCCCATGGGTTCGAGACCAGCCTGGGCAACATGGTGAGACCTCATCTCTACAATAAATCAAGAAAGATTAGCTGGGCATGATGGTGCATGCCTGTAGTTCCAGCTACTTGAAAGGCTGAAGCAGAAGGATAGCCTCAGCCTAGCAGGTCAAGGCTGTGGTGGCTGTGAGGATGACACTGCCCTCCAGCCTAGGTGACAAAGTCAGACACCGACACAAATAAATAAATAAATAAAATGTAATGCAAATTTCTTTTAAAAAAAAAAAAGGGTGAGACTCAGTTTCCAGGTACTCCACCCCCCAAAAACAAATGCTGGGAGTAATTTTCTGATTAAAAAAAAGTGCTACAATAATTTTTAAAATTATGAATACAGACTTGCTATAAAAAACTCAAACTGTACACTACTGTAAAGTCCTGTTTCTTTTCTTCCACTCTTAGAACTCATGACCATTCAGGTTTTGGGGGTCTATCCTTCCAGATTTTTCCTCTCAAATATAAGAAAGCATTTTTTAAAAGCAAAAATGGGATCCCATGATGCTCACTACAGTCCAGCTTGCTATTCCTGTATATCTGGGTACTAAGACGCCTTCCCACATCTCTGCTTAGACCTGCCTGGCCTTCTTAGTGGCTACAAAACAGATCACTGCACAATGACATGATTTATTTACCCATCTTCTGGACGAGCGCAAGACTTCTGGGCACTTACCACTACAGACATTCACACACTTATCCACACAAATATCCCCACTTACAATGTCTATGTTGTTTCATCATGAACCATTTAGAGAAGGGGAGGGGTGGATCTGGGATGGGCAGACATCCTCAGACTGGGGAGAGGGAGAGAGTCAGAGTGCTGCAAGTAGCTCCTTACCTGCAGGTACCGGGGAGCCTCAAAGGGAACAAGGTCTGACAAGAACTTGAAGAGGAAGACCAGTGCCTTCTTGCTACAGCCGTGGTAGCCACGCGCACTCCCAAAGGAGGCCTATGGAGAGAGAGGCATGAGGTCCGGGATGCAGGAGCCACTCAGTGAGGAGCTGGCACTGTGGGCTGCACCATCCAGGCAGGGTCTGGGCTGCTGCCACAGTGTCTGTCTCACAGACAGAAAGATAAGAGAAATAACCAGCATCCTTAAATATGTGAGCCAAAATTGCTCACATATTTAAGGATGTTACAACTGTGCTTTGACCAAAGAGATGAACATAAAGTTTATTCAGAGAAAAAGTTAAAAATAATTTGCTACAGAAAACAGTAGCCATGGTATCCTGTGTGATCCTTAGGGACACAAAATGTTAAATGCCCTCACGAGGGCTCTTTTTTTGTTTTTGAGTTGGAGCCTCACTCTGTCACCCAGGCTGGAGTGCAGTGGCACACTCACAGCCACCCCAGCATCGACCTGCTGGGCTCCAGCAATCCTTCTACCTCAGCCTTCCAAGTAGCTGGAACTATAGACACATGCCCAGCTAATTTTTGATTTATTGTAGAGACAAGGTCTTGCCAAGTCGCCCGGGCTGACCTCGAACCCATGGGCTCAGGCAATCCACTCGCTTCGGCTGTCCAAAGTGCTGGGATTACAGGCTGAGCCACCAAGCACAGCCACAAGGGCTCCTTACTTGGCAAATACATTCATTTCATCTGATGAAGCCACTTCTGCACACACCTCAACTTCCAAATTTGTCCATGAATGGATAGGTCACCACAAGAGAGGCAGCCAAGGAGGATTAGGCTTCAGAACAATAAACTCCAGGATCACAACAGAACAAGTATGGGGTGTGAGCAAGCAGGGGCAAACCCTTCCAGGGTGGAAAGCACATCTATAGTCTCTACAACAGGATCCTGGTGGAGCCAAGGCTCGAGTGAGTCAGGGCAGGAAGGGGACTTTAAATAGGCATTGGCCCCAAATGCACTGCAAATGAACCTGCAGGGAGAACGTGTACTGGCATGACAACTGAACTTACCCCCAAAACCACACAAAGTCTGTCTCCTGGCCTAGCGTGAGCGATGGAGTGGGACTCCGACTCAAAAAAAAAAAAAAATCGCCAGGCTCGGTGGCTCAGCCTATAATCCTGCGCCTTTGGGAGGCTGAAGTGAGTGGATTGCCTGAGCCTGCAGGTTCGAAACCCGCCTGGGCAGCGAGACCTCATCTCTACAATAAATCAAAACAAAAAATTAGCCGGGCGTGGTAGTGTGCGCCTGTAGTTCCAGCTACTTGGAAGGCTGAGGTGGAAGGATCGCTGGAGCCCGGCAGGTCAAGGGTGAGGTAGCCGGGAGCGGCCACTGCACTCCAGTCTGGGCGACAGAGTGAGACTCCAACTCAAAAAAAAAATTAAAAATAAAATAAAAATAAAAAATTAGCCAGGCGTGGTAGTGTGTGCCTGTAGTTCCAGCTACTTGGAAGGCTGAGGCAGAAGGATTGCCGGACCCCAGCATGTCGAGGCTGTGGTGGCCAAGAGCAACCACTGCCCTTCAGTCTGGGTGAGAGTGAGACTCCAACTCAAAAAAAAAAAAAAAAAAAGAAAAGAAAAAGAAAAATGAAAGAATGTAAACGCTGAGAGATACCTGATTTGTGACCCAAATTCCCTGGGGGACCATTGCACTACAGACAACAAAGCCCTGGTGGGCAGAGACCTTCTCAGAGCATGCAAACAGGAAACAGGGTCTCTGTATCTCACTGTGGACAGAGCAAACGTCAACACTCTCAGTCCAGTGGGAGCCCAGGCCAATGGGGGCAGAGCTGGGGAGAGCTTGAGGTGAGAATGAGCCTTAAGGTAAGAGTAAGGCAACACTGCCACAACCACCACCCTCACCAACACCAACAGACAGCAGCTCAGCCATCCCTTCTCAAATGGCCCCAGGTGGAAACAGGGACAGGTGGCAGAGACAACTGTGCAGGCGCTAGCTGCCCTGGAACTTGAGGAAGGTGAGATTCCTGCAAAGAGGCAACACTTCCTCAGGGTGGTGATGGCAGGCAAACCCAAAACTCCTATGAAAAAACTACAAAGCTCTTTAAACAGAAGGGCACTAACAGAGTAACAACATGCCTGCCCTTCAAAGCTGATGTGCCAAGACACCCTACCCTGTTGGTTCCCCTAAGACTCCCTCAGAAGCTGACTCAATGGTTCTGAGCTGGGACCTGGATCTGTATTTCCAAAGCCCTCTCCAGGTGAGGATGGTGTCTACTCGGGTTTGGAAAGAGCTGCACAAGTTTCCATCAGAGAGAATACTGGGTGTGTTGTAGACAGCAAAGTTAAAGCCAGGTGTGGTAGCTCATGCCTGTAATCCCAGGACTTCAGGAGGTGAAGGCGAGAGGATTGCCTGAGTTCAGGGGTTTGAGACCAACCCAGGCAACTTGGCAAGACTTTGTCTCTACAATAAATAAAAAAATTAGTTGGGTGTGGCAGCACATACCTGCAGTTCCAGATTCTTGGAAGGTTGAAGAGGTAGGATCGCCTGAACCCAGTACAGTAGGTCAAGGCTGTGGTGGCCGTGAGCATGCCACTGCACTCAGCCTAGACAACAGTGAGACTTCAACTCAAAAAAAAAAAAAAAAAAAAAAGAAAGCAAAGGAAAAAGGATGGCGCCATGAGATGACTCTGAAGAAGAATTTGTTTCCGGAGATGCAGCATATTCTGCAAAAGGCAGCAGCCACTCTATCTCCTCTTTCCTACCTGATTTCATGAATTTTCTTATCAAAGAGGGAAAAATGTTCCAACAAGCGAGGCAGAAACCAGGGGAAGGGCCAAGGCCCTGCAAGGAAAAACAGGCTCTCTACGTGCCCAGTAGAAGGCCATGAGAGACACACATGGGGGGCCTGTAGGGGCACTTGGCAAAGCTCCCCCCTAGTTTGTTCACTCATGACAGTGTTAGGTGGGAAGCCCATGGCTCCCGCCTGTTGGGAGACCAGTTGTTAGGGAACCAGCTCACCAGGTCACTTACTTTGAACCAGTCTGCATACGACATGAATGCAGAGGAGCCCTCCAGTGCAGCCTGGCGCACAACCAGAAACGCAGTGACCATGCTGTCCAGATGGTAGCTTTCGAACGCACGGGCCATCAAACGTGCCACCCAGTCTAGGTGAGAACCACAAAGCAGAAATACAATGTGAGCTGTGCTGGGTCACTGAGTGTTCAGCTAGGAGAATGTGTGTACCCAAACATCAATTTCCAAAAGACTACAACAATTTCAGCACCAAACACAACCAGCTTGAGACTTCAACGAAGAAGCAGCACACGGTCCAGCACCTCAGAGAGCAGACAGTGCTCATAGAAGAGCCTGATGGAGAGATCAGAGCTGGGCAGGTACAGGAGGGCTTCATCCCCGGGGCTCAGCCACAACACTGGGTCTCAGCGACCACCAGCACACAAGTCACACCCCCACACACCTTGACAGCAGCACACGGCTCCCATGACAACGCACCGCAAAGTAGTTCCTGTGCTTCTGGGAAGCAGATGACCAGCGTAGACACACAGGAGAGCACGCGCTGCCAGTTAACCTCCTGAGTCTCCAGAACGTCTTGCAAGTGTCCAACTAGTTCCTCTGGACTCAACATCACAAAGAGCTGAAACAAAAGTGCCACTCCCTTCAATGTCAAAGCAAACCACGGTCAGACGGGAGTGGTCCCTCACCTCCTTCCCAAGCCCATAGCCACTGCCCACTACCTATCTGACAGGCTCAGGGGAGGTGGGACATGGAACTTAGCAGTCAGCACCAGGCATCTCTCTACTCTGTGGTGGTCAGTACTAGGCAGAGATAATTCTCCTCATCTCAGGGAAGAGGGGCTTTGCCCAAGTGGCAAGTTCAGTCTCCTGGTCCTGCATAGTGGCCCAGATGTGAACAACCACGTCTCACTAGAAACTTCTGAACCTTCCCATGTACTGTCCTCAGGGTCAGTCTGGCGAGGAAGCAGCCAGTCAGTAATTTTAGACCCTCAACATGTGCGCAGGGAAGTAGGTCTAACACCCCCACCAACACTCACCCTGCGGTACAGAGTGGTGAGTAGAGTGGGCGTCCGTGCAAAGCTCCATTCCCTCTGCATCCGAATGGCATCTGACGCTTCAAAAAAAGAAACAGACAAAAACCTCAAGAGAAGCTGGATGCAGTGGCTCACACCTATAATCTCGGCACTTTGGGAGGCTGCAGCAAGAGGATTGCCTGAGCCCACAGGTTCAAGACCAGCCTGGGCAACATGGCGAGACCTCATCTCTACAATAAATCAGAAACTTCGCCAGGTATGGTGGTGCATGCCTGAGTTCAAGCTACTTGGAAGGCTGAGATGGAAGGATCACCTGAGCCCCAGTCAAGGCTGTGGTAGCCTTGAGGGTGCCATTGTACTCCAGACTGGGTAACAAAGTGAGACTCCGACTCAAAAAAATAACTTTAAGTGGAGATAATCAAGTCATGTTTTAAAGCTTCAATGTGAAAAATTACCTTGTTTCCACTGTATTTTTTTCAATTATTAGTGAAATTCATCATTTCCCTTTTTGTTACCTACGTTCTTTTTGTTATCAGTTCTGTGTCTGGCCTGGTCACTTACTGGTAATTCTTTGCCATGTTCACTATTAGTATTTTCCGGTGTTTCAATTGTATTTTTTTTTTTTTTTAGTTGGAGTCTCACTCTGTTGCCCAGACTGGAGTGCAGTGGCACGCTCCTGGCCACCGCAGCCTCAACCTGCTGGGCTCTGGCGATCCTTCCACCTCAGCCTTCCACGTAGCCAGAACTACAGGCGAGCACTACCAAGCCCGGCTAGTTTTTGATTTATTGTAGAGACGAAATCTTGCCAAGTTGCCCGGGAGGGTCTCGAACCCGCGGGCTCAGGCAATCCACTTGCCTTGGCCTCCCAAAGTGCTGGGATTACAGGCTGAGCCACCAAGCCCAGCCTGCATTTTTATTTTACTATGTTTAAACTTTAAACTGTCAGTAAATCAACCACAGTGACAATGCTGTTCAAAGGACACTAGGCTCGGAGTAAGTGCTGGTCAACTAGGCCAAGCCCTTTGGAAAGCACCTCACAGCACCTGTGGGGAACCATGCCACACATTCCCTGTCCTGCTACGCACATGTATCCCGCCAGGGCACCCACTCTGGAGACACACAGAACACTCGATGAGCAAAGCGTTCATTTCTGCCTTATTTGTGAGAGTGAGAACTTGAAAGCAGGACATCCACTGGGTAGAAGATGATGTCAGAATTGAACACTTAAGAAAACCACATAACTGCTAAAGAAGATGCCTACGGTATAATGATGTTTAAAACCATCATGGTATTACAGTATGATAACTATGCTTTTTAAAACATCTGTATAGAAAAAGACCATAAGAAATGTTTCATGTTAAGGCTGGGCACAGTGGCTAATACCTGTAATAAGCACTTTGAAAGGCCAAGGCAGACCTCATCTCCACAAAAAAACTAAAAAAAGAAATGTTTCATGTTGAAGATATTTCTATTTTGGTGACACTTCTTCTATCTACTCTTAGTTCTTAATTTAAATAACATGCTCAGCTGGGCTCGGTGGCTCAGCCTGTAATCCCCCACCTTTGGGAGGCTGAGGTGAGTGGATTGCCTGAGCCTGCGGGTTCGAGACCCGCCTGGGCAGCAAGACCTCATCTCTACAATAAATCCAAAAAAATCAGCCGGGTGTGGTAGCGCATGCCTGTAATTCTGGCTACTTGGAAGGCTGAGGTTGAAGGATTGCCAGAGCCCAGCAGGTGGAGGCTGCGGTGGCCGGGAGCGGCCACTGCACTCCAGTCTGGGTGACAGAGTGAGACTCCAACTCAAAATAAATAAATAAATAAAGAAAGAACATGCTCCTCTCATATGAAAGGATGTTTAATAATGAAATGTCTTTCTTGGGCTCAAGGTATCTCAGAGCGTTAAACCCCATCCACCTGTCTCAGGGCCCACGCTCTAGCTGAGGAGAGTGCCCCAAAGTGGCCCAAGTCCCTGGTGTCCTTGTCAGAGTGTCATTGAGGTAGCAAGGGGAAACAATCCCCCAACAGGCTGGGCAGACGACTGTGCAGCTTTGGCACCGGGACGTACCTTTCAGCACCGGGTTGTGAGTGAATATCTGCCTCAGAGAGTGACTGAAAAATCTCTTCGGAGAATCCGTGGAGATGATGTGGCAAAGCATGTCTCCACTGAACACGCTGACCCTTGCAAACACAGCAGAACGCAGCCGTCAGGAAAGGGTCCTTCCCCGTCTCCCAGCTCCCATGTCAAAGGACTAAAAGCTCAGCTATGTCCTCCCTTCAAGTAGGAGGTGCTCGCTTGGCCAGGCCTATCTAACCACAGACTTTAAATGAAACCCAAGGCAAGAGATCAGAGACAGGGTAGGATGTGTGGGGTGTGCACAGCGCCCATGAGCAGAGCCACCTGACAGACCTCAGTTCACACTCTGTGAAATGGAACTCATATAGTGTCCTTCACAGGGTTGTGCCACACCTTGAGCAAATAGCCCAGCACATGGCAGCAATGACCGTGACTGAAGTCAGTGCCATCCATGAGGATATGAAAGAAATGGTGGGGACTGGTGTTCCCTGGGCCATCGTGTGAGGGAGCAGGACATTTTGGAGGTGAACAGGGGCACAGAGCCAGGCATCAACGGGGCTTGAGTCTGCCGGTGTGCTGCATCCCAGTCGGCCTACACCGATCACCCTATCCTACCTCAGGGCTTCCTAAGATGTTTCATACCCAGACCCGCACATGACACAACCCGTAACAGTGAAGCACACTTTTTACCTCAGCTCCCCAGAAAATCAAGGGTCCCACCAGCTGAGTGGCCCCAGAATCACACACTCCATGAGGTGCCAGTTGCTGACACTTTGGAAGCATTTAAAATACCTTGGATCCCTCATTTAACAGGAGATCTCATGCCAGGCCTGCCCCAGGGACATACCAGCACCTCACGACCTTGTGAGACGAGGACTCCTCCTGTAGGCCAGCAGCCAAAGCATCAAGTACAACTGATGACAGAAGCCAGGAACAGAGAACAGACCTCAGCACGTTGTAACAGTCCATCTAAAATAATCTCTAAGCATTTCCAGACAATGGATTAATTTCCAGTGCCCTAGAAGGAACTGCATCTATCAAGATTTCTAAGCACGGCCAGGTGCTATGGCTCATGCCTGTCATTCCAGCACTTTGGGAGGCAGAGGTGAGAGGACTGTCTCAGCCCACGGTTCAAGACCACCCTGGGGAACTTGGAAAGACCTTGTCTCTGCAATACATCAAAAAATTAGCTGGGCATGGTGGCTGTGGTTCCAGTTACTTGGAAGGTTGAGGCAGAAGGATCGCTCGAGTGCAGCAGGTCGAAGCTATGGTGGCCATGAGCGTGCCATTACGCTCCAGCCTGGGTGACAGAGTGAGACTACAATTCAAAAAAAAAAAAAAATTTTCTCAGTGCCCTCACTGCTATCGAAATCTGTAAGCCTTAAAAATTAATCAGTGGTTGGGCACGGTGGCTCACGCCTATAATCCCAGTACTTTGGGAGGCCAAGGTGAAAGGATTTCCTGAGCCCACAGGTTCAAAACCAGCCTGGGCAATGTGGTGAACCTCATCTCTACAATAAATCAAGAAAAATTAGCCGAGCATGATGGCGCATGCCTGTAGTTTCAGCTACTTGGAAGGTTGAGGCGGAAGGATCGCCCGAGCCCAGCAGGTTGAGGTTGCGGTGGTCATGGGCATGCCACTACACTCCAGCCTGGATGACAGAATAAGACTGCAACTCAAAAAATAAAAATAAAATAAAAATTAAATTAAATTAATAGAATCATGTAGACAGTAAAACACTTTCCCATTGACCACAGATGAAAGTGGTATCATTTCACAGCTTTGGAAATTAACTCTGCAGTCACTGGTAGCTGAAAGTTAGGATGAGAAGTAGAAGGTGAATTCACACCAAATTACAACCCAAACATGAGCCTTCCAGTACCGGGACTCTGCACAGCAAAACACACCGAGAGATGAAATACTTCCAATGAAATTGCAGAAAATTGCCAGAACGTTAGTAAGCAAAACTGAAATGTTTACAGTCGGGGTCACAGAGCAATCAACTCACAAGTCAGCATCCCCTGCAGCACACCAAGGGCAACCTGTCAGAGGGAACAGAAGTCACCATTACATCATAATCTTCACACGCTTGTATCACACAAAAGATTACTTGTTATTCTAAAGCAAAATAAAAAACTGTCTTTACAATGAAGTCCACCTTTAAAATGCCCTCTTTGACCTAGAAACTATCCCAATACTGCAGAGACCCAGACAGAGTGAAAGCACAGAACTGGCTGGGCACAATGGCTCACATTTATAATCCTAGCATTTGGGAGGCCAAGGTGAGAGGACTGCCTGAGCCCATGGGTTCAAGACCAGCCTGGGCAACTTGGTGAGACCTTATCTCTATAATAAATCAAAAAATTAGTTGGGCCTGGTGGTACACGCCTATAGCCTCAGCTACTTGGAAGGTTGAGGTGGAATGATCACCTGAGCTCAGCAGGTAGAGGCTGCGGTGGCCATGAGTGTGCCATTGCACTCTAGTCTGGGCGACAGAGTGAGACTCTGACTCAAAAAAAAAAAAAGGTGGAGAACTTTCTGGAATCACCTGCAGTGGTACCCCACAATTTTTCTTGGCATAGCCTGAGGCTGTGCGCCCGGGCCTGGACAGAACTCTGGCCCCTACAGGCACTTGGTAAATATGAGTCATGAGCATTCTGCTGATGTTCTCTCAGCATACGACCCAGTGTGGAGAGCTCCCATGCCCTCTTGTTAAGAAAGCACAGGCCTGGTGGTTTCTTTCGCCCAGGCCCGCTCTGGCATGTCTCCCTTTCTTTTCCCTCTTCTCTAATAAACTTTGTTTTAAAACTTAAAAAAATAAAAAAGACTAAAGACACCTAAAGACGTTTGCCCTCAGGTCCTCCGGAACCAGAAGACAGAGGTGAGATGTCACCACCTATGTCCATTCCTCATAATCACTGGACTTGAGGCATAATGGTACTCAGGAGTGTCTAATGACAGAAAAATAAATTGGATTTCCTCATGAAAGCTTACCAACTGTAATGTAGGACAAAATGTTAGTCACTGGTACAGGGAAAAAACTTGGGATGTACCACTCAAAGCAGTCTACAAATTTAACACAATTCCTATCAAAATACCACTAACATTCTTCACAGAAATTTTTTTTTAAATCCTAAAATTTGTATGGAACCAAAAAAGAGCCCAAATAGCCAAAGCAATCCTGAGAAAAAAGAACAAAGCCGGAAGCATCACATTATCAGACTTCAAAGTATATTACAAGGTATAGGAACCAAAACAGCATACTGGTATAAAAACAGACATACAGACCAATAGAACAGCATAGAGAACCCAGAATTAAATCCATGTATTTACAGCCAACTGATTTTCAACAAAGATGCTAAGGATACTCATGGGGCAAGAAACAGTCTCAGCCAGGCTCAGTGGCTCAGACTGTATGTAATCCCAGTACTTTGGGAGGCCAAAGTGAGTGGATTGCCTGAGCCTGTGGGTTTGAGACCACCCCAGGCAACTTGGCAGGAACTCGTCTCTACAATAAATCAAAAATTAGCCAGGCATGATAGTGTGTGCCTGTAGTTTCAGATACTTGGAAGGCTGAGGTGGAAGAATTGCTGGACCCCAGCAGGTCAATGCTGGTGTGGCTGTGAGCATGCCATAGCACTCCACCCTGGGTAGCAGTGAGACTCCAACTCAAAAAAAAGTGGGCAGCAGGGCTCAGTGGCTCAGCCTGTAATCCTGCACCTTGGGAGGCTGAAGTGAGTGGATTGCCTGAACCCACAAGTTCGAGACCCGCACAGGCAACTTGGTGAGACCTCATCTCTACAATAAATCAAAAAGTTAGCCAGGTGTGGTAGCACGCGCCTGTAGTTCCAGCTACTGGGAAGGCTGAGGTGGAAGGATCTCCGGAGCCCAGCAGGTCGAGGATGCAGTGGCTGGGAGCGGCCACCGCACTCCAGTCTGGGCGACAGAGTGAGACTCCAACTCAAATAAATAAATAAATAAATAAATAAAAGTGAGCAAATGACCTGAATAGACATCTTTCAAAAGAAGTCATACACACAGATCAAAACCACAATGAGATGTCATCTCACCCAAGTTAGAATGGCTGTTATACAGAGAAAAAGAGAACGTTATACATTGTTGGTGGGAATGTAAACTAACACAGCCACTACAGAAAACAGTATGGAGGTTCTTTAAAGACCAAAAATTGAACTAACATGTGATCTAGCAATGCCATGGCTGGGTATATAGTCAAAGGAAAGGAAATCAATATGCTGAAGAGACATCTGCACGCCGCCACTCCCCCCCGCATGTTTACTGAAGCATGATTCACAATCACTAAGATATGGTATCAATCCAAGTGTCCATCAACAGATGAACGGATAAAGAAAATGTAGCATATATACACAATGGAATACTACTCAGCCATTAAAAAAGAGTAAAGTGCTGTCATTTGCAAGCAACATGAATGGAATTGAAGGTCATTATGTTAAGTGAAATAAGCCAGGCATAGAAAGACAAACGTCACATGTTTTTACTCAAATGGAAGGAAGTAAAAAGTGGACTTCATGGATGTAGAGAGCACAGTGATAGTTACCAGGGGCTAGGAAAGAGTGTGGGGGAGTGAAGAGAAGTTGGTTAAAGGGTATACATTTCTAAATAACTAGATGAAAAGATCTGAAATGCTCCCAACATAAATGATAAATTTTCAAGGTGATGGATATCCTAAATACCCTGATCTGATCATTACTCTCCACACATGTAACAAAGCATCAAGTATCAACAGAAACAAGCACATGGGTACATTTAGAAGCTTCCAGGGGGTTGCTCTTCAGGCTGCTGTCCATCCTCATAGTGAAGCCAACTTTTCAGACTCTTCACTGTATTTTTTTCCTCCTACCTGGGGCATCTTTTCAGGCTCCAAAGTTCTTGAATCCGAGTTCTGAAATCCCATCGAAACAAACAACTGCACAAAATCTGAAAAACCAAAGCACTTATATACATCATGGTCTCCCAGCAGGTGTGAACTGCACAGACCATCCATTTCAGAGGGTGAGTATCCCTATGGCTTAGACTAACCAGGGTCCGTGTGAGCTGCCCGGACACTCTGCTCCTAGCCCAAAGGAGCTCTGCAGAGGCCACTGCCCACCTGACCCAGGTACACAAGGATTCACCAAACCCAACCAACCAGAGCCCCAACGAAGCAGATTTCTCTTCTTGCCATTCTACCTGAAAGGGAAACACTTATAATGAATCAAGTTCATATACCAAGGATTCTTTTCTCTTAAACAAAAAAGTAGCTTCCAAGAGCCTGTCTCTACCACCAGCCGCAGAGGGAGATGGAAGCATCACTCTCTGAAGAGCGAGGCGGGAGATGAACTCACATCCTGTTAAAAAATCAGGAGTAAAAGGATTGAAATGAAAGGTTTTCTGTCTAATCTCCAACTTAAACTGAATCTATCTGTAATCACATTACAGGAGCTCAAGAATCCTAAGTAGCTCATGCCATCGAAAAGTTTTAGGAAAAACAAATGTGTCTTTTGTAAAGAACCCCACACACTACCCGTAAAGAACATTCCACTTCTCATCTAATGTTTACTTGTAGGTGTCATTCCTCATGGGTTACTCTAAGGGAAAGAGGTGTGGAAACACCTGTACAAGTGTCAGCTTACTGGAATCTCCACACTCATTCAAGATAAATGCAACCCCAGGACAATAGCACACTGAGAGGACGTCACACTTGATTCTCACGGCCATGTGTGTAGGAAGTCTGTTCTGCTTCCCATGGCTTTTCATGGCAAAAGGCATTCCCACTGATCAAAACAAGCTTTACCAAAGAATCTGCCTGTCGTCACAAACTTACCAGAAAGCATCGCCTTGGCGACATCTGAGTACGGACAGGACGCTTCCAGCTGTTCACATAGAAGACACAGGTTTCTGAAGAGCCACGTCCCCATGGCCTGCATGTCAGGATGGCTGCAGACACACAGATGCATGGCTCAACTTGATCCCAACCTTCCACTTTCACCATCAGGCAATTTCCTTTAACACTCACTTTATTGGGAAGCTTGGACCAGTGAGGATGAGCTGGCAACCATCTAAGCCAGCGGTGTCCAACCTTTTGGCTTCTTCAGGTAGAGGAATTGTCTTGAGCCGCACATAAATTACAGGTTGAGCCACCAAACCCGGCCAGAAATATTTGTTTTATCATGATGTTAAAAGATTGTATGGGGCCGCATTACTAGCTGTCCTGGGCTCAGGTTGGACAGGCCTGGTCTAAACCATTCTGCCCCACAGAGAGGGCATCTAACTGGTTGCTACTGACAATAATAACCATTTTCAAATAGTCTACTCATTTGGAGTAGCTCATTATTGTTGGAAGGAAAAAGAAGGTTCAGTAATCGTACATAATCATTGACATAAGATGCCCAGCAGTGGTTATAGGTCACAGGTTCTCCTCAAGGCACTGCCGTGTAGACACACATGTGGCCTGCCAACTCCTTACCCAGGAGCAGCTGCTGGGGTACTCCCACCTCAGGTCTGCCTTTCCCTAGCAACTAGTGATGTGCTGATTAGTCATTCTTTTTTTTTTTTTGCAGAAATGTCTATTAAGAGTCTTTGCCTATCTTACATTGCATTGTTGGTCTTTGTACTGAGTTGTAAGAGTTTCTTGTCCTAAATTCTAGACTCCTATCACATACATGACTGGAAAATAATTTCTCCCATCTTGTGAGTTGTCTTTTTATTGTCTTAGTCATATCCTTTGACACACACAAGTTTTTTAATTTGATGAAACCCAACTGATCAAACAATTGATTAATCAAAGGCCATACAGATTTAGCCCTATGCTTTCTTATGGGAGCTTTATGGTTTTAGCACCTACATTTAGGTCTTTGACACATTTTGAGTTATTTGCTATATGTGGTAGGAGGTAGGGTCCAACTACATTCTTTTGCATGTAATTGGTTGTCTCAGCATCATCTGTGAAAAGACTTTATTTTCCTACTGAATGGTCATGGCATCCTTGTTGAAAATCAGCTGACCAGCCAGGCTCAGCGGCTCAGCCTGTAATCCCGCACTTTGGGAGGCTGAGGTGAGTGAATTGCCTGAGCCCGCGGATTCAAGACCTACCTGGGCAACTTGGCGAGACCTCATCTCTACAATAAATCAAAAAAAAATTAGCCAGGTGTGGTAGTTCGCGCCTGTAGTTCCAGCTACTTGGAAGGCTGAGGCAGAAGGATCGCCAGAGCCCAGCAGGTCGAGGTTGCGGTGGCCGGGAGCAGCCACTGCACTTCAGTCTGGGCGACTGAGTGAGACTCCAACTCAAAAAAAAAAGAAAATAAGCTGACCACAGGGCAACTCCCTCGGGTCCCTTCCCATTGTGGGAGTTTTTCTGTCCTCTCAATAAATCCTGCTTTAAAAAAAAAAATCAGCTGACCATAAATGTAAGAGTTTATGTCTGGACTCTCAGTTCTATTCCATTGATCAATATATTGATCCTATGTCAGTCTCAATTACTGTAACTTTGCACTAAATTTTGAAGTCAAGGTGTGAGTCCTCCAATTTCTTTCTTCATTTATTTATTTATTTATTTGAGTCAGAGTCTCACTGTCGCCTAGGCTGGAGGGCAGTGGCACGCTCATGGCCACTGCAACCTCAACCTGCTGGGTTCAGGTGATCCTTCCATCTCAGTCTTCCAAGTAGCTGGAACTACAGGTACACGCTACCACACCTGGCTTATTTTTTTATTTACTGTAGAGACAAGGTCTCACCAAGTTGTTCAGGCTGTTCTCGAACCCCTGAGCTCAGGGAATCCTCTTGCCTCAGCCTCCCAAAGTGCTGGGATTACAGGCTTACGTCACTGCATTTGGCCTCAATTTCTCCATTTCTTTTTTCTTTCTTCAGTTCTTTGGGCTATTCTGGGTCCCTTGTATTTCTGTACCTATTTTAGGATCAGCTTATCAATGTCCGCAAAAAGCCAGCTGAGACTTTAAAGAGCCTGCACTGAAAGTGCAGATTTCTTTGGGGAGCAATGCCATCTTGACAATAGCAAGCTGTCTTTCGAATTACTTAGGTCTTTTTTTTTTTAAGCCTTCAAATGAAGCAGTGGGAGTGGAAAAGGAATAAACGAATCTGGTTATGATCAATTGGTTGCAAACATCACTGCACTAGGACCAGCCTATTTGGGTATAAATTCCTTTCAGTAATGTTTAACAGTTGTCAGTGTACAAGTCTTGTGCTTAAGTTTATTTCTAATTTATTATTTTTGATGCTTCTAAGTGTAACTGTTTTTCTAAAGTGATCTTTCATTGTCAATGCACGGAAATACAATTTCTGCACAGATTTTGTATCCTGCATCCTTTCTGAACTCATTTATTAGCTCTGATAACTTTTGAGTAGATTCCTTAGGATTTTCTACATACAAGATCATCTCTTCTCTACACAGAAACAGTTCTACTTCTTCCATTCTAATCTGGATGCTTCTTATTTATTTTATTTTTTTGCTTAACTTTCTTGGCTAGAATCTCCAGTACAATGTTGAATAAAAATGGCAAGAAAGGATCTTGTATCTGATCTTTGGAGAAAACTTTTCGTCTTTAACCACCATGTATATAATGTTAGCTGTGGGCTTTTTAAAATGCCCTTTCCAGGTTAAGAAAGCTCTATTCTATCTCTAGTTGTTAGTGTTATCATAAGGAAAGAGTGTTGGATTTTGTCAATTGCTTTTTCTACATCTGTTGAGATAACCACTCATGCCTTTCTCTTTTTTTTTTTTAAGAGAGAGGATCTCACTCTGTTACCCGGGCTGGAGTGCAGTAGTAGCACAGTCATAGCTTCTTGCAGCCTCAAACTCCTGGGCTCAAGCAATCCTCCCACCTCAGCCTCCTGAGTAGCTGGGACTACAAGTTCGAGCCACCACGCCTGGCTAATCTTTTTTTCTTTTGTTGAGGCAGGGTCTGGCTATGTTGCCCAGGCTGGTCTCAAACTCCTGGCCTCAAGCAATTCTCCTGTCTCAGCCTCTCAAAGTGCTAGGATTCCAGGTGTGAGCCACTGCACCCAGTTCCTTTATTACTGATTTTTAGGCAAGGCAGGGTGACTCACATCTACAATCACAGCACTTTGGAGGTCAAGGTAGGAGGATCACTTGAGGCTGAATTCAAAACCAGCCCGGGCAACACAACAAAACCCCATTTCCACAAAAATAATAATAATTATAAATATTACTGATTTTCAGATGTTAAAGCAACCAACCACATATTTTGGAGATAAATCTTACTTTGTTATGTTGTGTAATCCTTTTTCTATGTTTTGAATTCAGTTTGCTAATATTTTTGCATTTATATTCATTAGATACTGATCTACGTTTCTTTTGTTATCTTTAGCTTTAATATCAGGATAATATATGGAATAAGTTGGGATGTGTTCCATCTTCCTCTATTTTCTGGAAGAATTTATGAAGAAATGGTATTATTTCTTCTTTAAATGTTTGGTACAATTCACCAGTGAAGTCATCCATGGGTGGAATTTTCTATGTGGGAGATTTTAAGTTAGTGATTCGACTTTACCTGGTACAGACCAATTCAGATTTTCTTGTAAGCCAATTTTTGTCATTAACATCTTTCCAGAAACTTGTCCATTTTATCTGTATCATAATTTACTGGCATAAAAATAGTTCATGGTATCTCCTTACAATACTCTCAATTTCTGTCAGATCAGTAGCGATGCCCCTTCTTTCACTGCTAACTTTGGTCATTTGTGTCTTTTTTGATGAGTCTTGTTGATATTCTTAAATAACCAATTCTTTTTTTTGAGTTGGAGTCTCACTCTGTCGCCCTGGAGTCTCACTCTGTCGCCCAGACTGGAGTGCTGTGGCAGCTCCCGGCCACCGCAGGCGCGACCTGCTGGGCTCCGGCGATCCTTCCGCCTCAGCCTTCCGAGTAGCCAAAATTACAGGCATGCGCTACCACGTCCAGCTGATTTTTTGATTTATTGTAGAGATGAGGTCTCGCTGCCCAGGTGGGTCTCGAACCCGCGGGCTCAGGCAATCCACTCACCTCAGCCTCCCAAAGGCGCGGGATTACAGGCTGAGCCACCAAGCCCGGCTATTAACCAATTCTTTTTCCTCTGGTTTCCTCTATTGTTTTTATATATCCTCCTTCACTGATTTCTATTCTCATCCTTATTACTTGTTTCCTCCTGTTTCCTATGGGTTTCATTTGCTTTTCCTAGTTTCTAAAGGTCAAAGCTTAGGTTGTTAATTTGAGAGCATTCTTTTATTCAAATATAGGCTTTTACTGTTATAAATTTCCCTTTATGCATTCCTTTTGCTGTATTCTATACATTTTGGTAGATTATTCATTTTCATTCATCTCATGATATTTTCTAATCTCCCTTGTGGTTTCTCTTTTGACCCATTGATTATTCAGCAGTATGTTGTTTAATTCCCAAATACTATATAGGTTTTCCAAATTACCTTCTATTATTGATCCTAATTCATTTGTGGCTGGAGAACATATTTGGAATGATTTCAACCCTTATAAACATACTCCAACTTGTTTCACGGCCTGAACCCTCTGCTCTATCCTAGGGACTGCTCCATGACGCCTTATGAATGTGCATCCTGCTACTCCTGGGTGGTGGTGTGCACATCAGGCTAATCAGTGGGTTTGCAGCATTCATCTTCTGTATCAGCACAATACCTTGCCAGCAGCTCCTGCAGGCTCACGACACTCTGTACATGAAGATGCCACACAGCTTCAAGCAACAATGAGCTCTGAAGAAAATACCAGCATTAGGGTCTTTTATGCATGCATTTTCCTACAAAACATTCAGCCTAGGTTTCTAACCACTTTGTTCTATTAAAAGTTAGAGTAGGACGGGCTCAGTGGCTCAGCCTGTAATCCCAACACTTTGGGAGGCCAAGGCGAGTGAATTGTCTGAGCCTGCAGGTTTGAGACCCACCCGGGCAACTTGGCAAGACCTCGTCTCTACAATAAATCAAAAATTAGCCGGGCGTGGTAGCACACGCCTGTAGTTCCAGTTACTTGGAAGGCTGAGGCGGAAGGATCGCCAGAGCCCAGCAGATCAAGGGAGCATGCCACTGCACTCCAGTCTGGGTGAGAGTGAGATTCCAACTCAAAAAAAAAAAAGAGTAACAAGCAGAGACTAAAATATGCATTCCACAATTTTTAAACTCATCAGTCTCAGACACTCACCCACTGCTACCCTATACTTACTTCTCCTCCTTCCCCCTCCTCCTGCTTTAGCAGACACTCACCTTCTCCTGACCAGGGCTCTAATATAACCCACTTCCAATCACTTGTCTGTCCTGCAGTCAATACAATATTCTAAACACACACTGGACATGTCAATCTCTTCTTTGGAAGAGTTTGCCGGCTCCTCACAGCTTCTCAAACAAAGGTCAAGCTTTAATGTAACTCTTAGGCCCTTTGTGGCCTGGTCTATGTCTTTCTCACCAGACCTCTCCCACCTGAGGACTCTCCCTGCTTTTGCATGGATACACACGCCAAATACCCCAGACCCCTGTCACAGTCATGATGACCTGAATTCTCAGATCCTGCAATGCTGTCCCTGTCCCTTCTTACCCCACTAACACACACTCTTCCCTCACACTCCATGCACGAAGTGCTCCATAACTCTCTCATCTGATGTGCATGTCTGTCATCTTCTTTTCAAATCTGTCAACACCTGTATCATTGCAATTCATGGGCACTTAGTTGTGCCTTCCCCCAACTATATGGTAATGAGTTCAGGGACCATAATGCCTGATAACCAAATGAACTCCATAATGTACGTCAGATAAAAGAATGAGAAAAAAACATAAACCAATTATCACTTTGGTTTTCTCTTTGCTTCTTTTTTTTTTTTTTTGAGTCAGAGTCTCACTCTGTCACCCAGGTTGGAGTGTAGTGGCACCCTCATGGCCACTGCAGCCTCAACCTGCTGAGCTCAGGCGATCCTTCTCCCTCAGCCTTCCAAGTAGCTGGAACTAAACTACAGGTGTGTGCCACCATGCCTGGTGAATTTTTTTGATTTACTGTAGAGATGAGATATCATCAAGTTGCCCGGGCTGGCCTCAAACCCTTGGGCTCAAGCAATACTCTCACCTCAGCTTCCCACAGTGCTGGGATTATAGGCGTGAGCCATCATGCCCAGCCTTGCTTTTTCATTTTTTTTGAGTTGGAGTCTCACTCCGTCACCCAAGCTGGAGTGCAGTGGCATGCTCACAACCACCCCAGCATCAACTCACTGGGCTCAGGCGATCCTTCCACCTCAGCCTTCCAAGCAGTTGGAACTACAGGCGTGCAGCTACCACGCCCGGCTAATTTTTTGACTCATTGTAGAGATGAGGTCTCGCCAAGTTGTCCAGGCTGTTCTTAAACCCATGGGCTCAGGCAATCCCCTCAACTCGAACTCCTAAGGTGCTGGGATTATAGGCTTGAGCCACCTCGCTTGGCCTCTTTCCTTTTTCTAAAAACTTGCTAATCTCATTTAGTACCTGTGGTACTTATGAGCTCTTTCAATTCTTCAAAAGTCTGTAAGTCTTTGAGTTCAAAATGCTTCAAAAAGAGCAGGCAAGAGTAATTTTTAAATTATATTTTTAGGCCAGGCACAGTGGTTCTTCATGCCTGTAATCCCAGTGCTTTGGGAGACTGAGGTAGGAGGATCACTTGAAGCCAACAAGGGCAACATAGTTCCAGACCGACATGGGCAACATAACGAGACCCTATCTTTACCAAAAAATAAATAAATTATATTTTATAGTTTACTATACTGCCCTGGAAAGTTATTCATAATATGCCCAAGAAGGCAGACCATCATGTTTTTGTGTATATGTTATTCTAACAGATATTCCTACTCATGAGAGAGTACTGACAGCAATGGTAACTGAAGGTTCTTTCTTCCTGTCCACAGAGCGCTTGCTGAGCCCTTTCTTCACTATCTGTAATTGACGAGAAGTTTGATGGAATTCTTAAGAAAACCTAGGGATTCTGTTGGCTCTATCCAGATCAAGAGAACATTGCTGGAAATCCCTGATAGTCAGAGTTACCACCCCAGATGTACCTGCACTTTCCACAGTTCTTGACAGAAGGAAGCGCGGGAGAACATGCTGTGTGCCAACAAATACTGAGCTTTCACTAGCAAGGAAGACAGTTTCTTCTGAAAAGAGATTGGATGGCTTTAAAAACAGGCAAATTACCTGAAACAATACTTTAAAAGTTCCTATTTTCCTAACCAGTTTAAAAGTGATAGCGAGCATGTGTCCTCATCCATGCTGTGTCTTACCCTCTGCTCTGCCGTCAGCAGCACAGTGAGACCAGCCTCCGCTGAAGCCATGCAGATCTGCCCCATGCTGCAGGCAACCGTCTGGGCTGAAAGGATGCCCACTGGAACCCCCAGCCTTGAGGCCTGATCCTGCAAGGCAGAGCCTTGAAGACAAAACAGAACCACAGGGGACAAAATTTAACATAGAAGACTTGTAGTTTTAAATGACTTATTTTAGCCAGGCTTGGTGGCTCAGCCTGTAATCCCAGCACTTTGGGAGGCCAAGGCGAGTGGATTGCCTGAGCCCGTGGGTATGAGACCAGCCCAGGCAACATGGCAAGACCTCAACTCTACAATAAATCAAAAATTAGCCAGGCGTGGTAGCACGCACCTGTAGTTCTGGCTACTTGGAAGGCTAAGGCAGAAGGATCACCTGAGCCCAACAGGTCGACACTGGGGTGGCCTGAGTGTGCCACTGCACTCCAGTTTGGGCAACAGAGTAAGACTCCAACTCAAAAAAAAAAGCCTTATTTTAAGTTGTAGCATCACAGAAAACTGCCTTTTATAGGGGAGAATAGATGTAAAGGGAAAAACATGAGATTAAAATTAAGACAATTCCGGCCAGGCTCGGTGGCTCAACCTGTAATCCCACGCTTTGGGAGATCAAGGTGAGTGGATTGCCTGAGCCCACGGGTTCGAGACCTGCCTAGGCAACTTGGCGAGACCTCATCTCTACAATAAATCAAAATTTAGCCAGGCATGGTGGCGCGCGCCTGTAGTTCTTGCTACTTGGAAGGCTGAGGCGGAAGGATCGCTGGAGCTCAGCAGGTTGAGGCTGCGGTGGCCGAGAGTGGCCATTGCACTCCAGTCTGGGTGATGGAGTGAGACTCCAACTCAAAAAAAAAACAACAAAAAAAATTAAGACAATTCCATGACCAAAGCAGTTCACAATATAATTAGTGGCAACATCTGCACCCAGAGTTTTGCATACATATTTGTTATAATTTACACGACACAAAATGAGAAAGACGGCAAGATAAATTCTGCCCAAGAACTTTATCATCTTTTTCCAAAGGAGCATAATAAATTGAGAACTCCAGCAGGCTCTTTCAATTAACTTGTTTTTCTAATTACTTCAGAGACAAGCCTGCTCCCACTGACTTTACATTGCTGCTTGAGTCAAAATTAGGTAGGGATTCCCAATGCTCTGCCACGTACCTGGGGGCAGCAGCGGTCACAGGTGTGCTCAGGACCCAGGATACCCGGTGAAACCTGGACCGGGGGCTCAGAGTAGCCACCAGTAACCAGCCTCTGCACCACCAGCCTCTGGTTTGCCCTCAATAAAGTGAGAAGTGCTGGGTGTCTGAAAATAGGTAATGCCTACAAGTAAATCGTTGTCTAATATATTTGGCTTCTAAAACTAATTCTTTTTAAAAACTGGAAAGTGAGCCAGGTGAGGTGGCTCATGCCTGTAACCCCAGCACTATGAGGAGGTGGAGGTGAGAGGATTGCCTGAATCCAAGGGTTTGAGACCAGCCTGGGCAACATGGCGAGACCTCGTCTCCACAATGAATCAAAAAATTAGCCAGGTATAGTGGCGCACATCTATGGCTCCAGCTACTTGGAAGCTAAGGCAGAAGGATCATCTGAGCCCAGCACATTGAGGCTGTGGTGGCCATGAGTGTGTCACTGCACTCCAGGTGTGAGACAGAGTGAGACTCCTACTCAAAAAATAAAATAAAAATTAAAAATAAAAACTGGAAAGTGTAGTACATGCCTGTTATTGTCAAGGCTCTGAAAACTCGTATCAATATATAGATGAAAACACAATGGTTATAGAGACTTCAAATTACAGTATTAGAAATCATCAGTTGCAGTGGTCAAGATGAAATTCATGGTAGAAAGGTAGGAAAATGCCAATTTCTAGCCACTTAAGTTTGTTTTTTACTTACACCTTACAAATACCGAAGGAGCCAAAAAATGTATACACATTTTAAGAGATGTTATCTATGTATTATTTTGCAAAGTTGAATTGAATTACAGTAGCAATGTGTAGTATGACATTTGCTCAAAAGATGGCATTAATCAAATGAATGCTAGTGTCACCATGTGATAGGCAGGGCAATCAAAGAAAATGGCAGAAACACAGTTGTCATTTGGGGAGCGCAAGACCATTTTGAAGTGGTATTTGAAATCTGAGAATGTTGTGGAAGTACCACAGCAATGAAGGCATGAGTATGCAACAGAGCCTCCAACATGCCTAACAACTATATGCGTCTGTGATCAGTTTGAGATGTGTGGTACTGTGTGTAATGTGCACAAGGGAAGATCCAGAAGGCTTCACACAGCACTAAGTCCTACTTCTTCTGCTATGGTATTGAAACAGTTTATACACTCATCACAGAAGTCTACCAAACAATTTACACATGAGACAGGAGTTAGTAGAACAAGCATATGATACATTCTTAAAACAGCAAAATGGAAAGTTTTCATTCCAAGATTATTATATGCATTGAACAAAGACAACCCTGATCAAAGGGTGCAGTATTGTGAGTGGTTCTAAAACATGGTACAAGGAATGAGGAGTTTGAGGGGAAAATGGTTTGGGCTGGTGAAGCACAGTTTAAATTGAACAGAATGATGTAGCTGAGTTTCCCCCACATTCTGCTGACTTAACACTCCTTGACTTCTGCCTATGAGAGACCTGAAAGGATGTGGTGTACCAAAGAAAACCAGCTACATTGGCAGTACTTTCAGGAAGAATCTGAAATGGAATGCACAGTGATATAAGTGGATACTTTGGCTAACATTGCTTAAGCAGTAGCTCGCTATCATCAGAAGTGTCTGGATGCTGATGGGAACCACTTTGAAAACCTCTTGTAATTGCAGAAGTCAGAGATGACTTGTATTCATCTTTTGCTATTGGTATATATTGAGTATTACAATTTTAAAAGTTTTTTTCCTTTCTTAAAATTGTATACATTTTTTTGGCACCCTCTGTATATATAAACCAACTTAAATATCTATTATTTCTGTGGTCAAAGGTAAAGAGCTTCTTATACCTTGATCCCAAAGTCTATACAAGAAAGTATATTGGCCAGGCTCAGTGGCACATGCCTGTAATCCTAGCACTTTGGGAGGCCAAGGCGGATTGCTTGATGCCAGGAGTTCAAGACCAGCCTGGGCAACATAACAAGACCCTGTCTCTACAAAAAATTTAAAAATTAGCGGGGTGTGGTGGCACATTCCTGTGGTCCCAACTACTTGGGAGACTGAGGCAAGAGGATGGCTTGAGGCCAGGAGTTCCAAGGCTACACCAGACTATGATCCCACCACTATACTTCAGCCCCAGCAACACAGCAAAACCGTGTCTCTAAAAAAAGAAAAAAAAACTTGGTTCCCTGGAATGATGATGTATAATTCATGAAATTCAAATACAATATGGCAGTGAAAATCTGTATCATTAATCAATAACATTTAGTTATCAGTTGTCAAGGTAGGTCTATGTCAAGGCAGGTCTATTATTTAAGGTTATTTTAACGTAAACTTACAGCAAATTAATGAATTAGTTACTATTAGTCTCTGAAACAACAGTCATTATATAATAAAAAGGTAAAAGATAAGAAAATAGCTAAGTCCCCCAGAGCTTTTCCTATCTCGCACTCTCAATTGAGGGGATGGGAGAATTGAGAGACACGTTCCAGGTCTCCTGTCTCCCTGGGTCTTGTCAGCACAGCACACATTTAATCACTTCCATGAATGAGGGCACATCCCTGCTGTCACTGTCTCCCAGTTTCCCAAGAGACACTTTGGTTCCTACTGTTCTGAGTCCCATGTTGAGTCAAACACTGTTTTTTTTTTGGGGGGGGGTTGAGTTAGAGTCTCACTCTATCACCCAGGCTGGAGTGTACTGGCATGCTCATGGCCACTGCAGAGATGTCCTGCTGGGCCCAGGTGATCCTTCTGCCTCAATCTTCCAAGTAGCTGGAATCACAGGCTTATACCACCACGCCCAGCTAATTTTTTTATTTATTGTGGAGACAAGATCTTGCTGTGCTGCTCAGGCTGGTCTCAAACCCTTGAGCTCAAGCAATCCTCTTGCCTTGGCCTCCCAAAGTTCTAGGATTACAGGCTTGAGCCACCGAGCCTGGCCCAAACACTGTTTTTAAACACTGCAGCATAACAAACCCCAAGCAAGTCACAAGAGCACGATTTATAACGTGACTACACATACAAATGCAAAACCATCATCTGGGGGGATTTAAATGTCTACTTATTAAAGTGAATCACGGTCATTTTATATAAAACTTCCTCTAACTAAAAATTGAGAAAACAAAGTTATAACTTACCTATAAATGAACTAGAATGAGTAGTGTGGGCCTCAGGACTGTCACAATCTATCAATCTGTCGAGACACAACTTTTTACATGGTGGACCTTCTACCTAGAAACCAAAACACAAAGAACTATATTTTAAAAATTCAAGCTGTGCACATAAACAAAATTCAGATGCATACAGTACAATGCTTGGCTACTGGGCTATTTCTAAATATTTTTAAGGTGAAACTTACAAAAGCCTTTTAATGATTTATTATTACATTCATTTTTCAATTTATGGTTGCTTCTACCAGACACTAGGCTGTCCAGGTGTTTGTTTATAAAGGCTATGCCTTAACTGAGTTAAAAACACCCAAAGTAATTCCAGCACTTTGGGAGGCCAAGGCAAGAGGATTGCCTGAGTCCGTAGGTTCTAGATCAGCCTGGGCAACATGGTGAGACCTTGTCTCTACAATAAATCAAAAAATTAGCCAGGTATGGAAGCTATTTCCGGCTACTTGGAAGGCTGAGGCAGAAGGATCACCTGAGCCCAGTAGGTAGACACTGGGGTGGCTGTGAGCATGCCACTGCACTCCAGCTTGGGTGAGGGAGTGAGACTCCAACTCAAAAACAAAAAAACGAAACAAAAAAAACTACTCAAACATAAATCTGCCTACAATGGCAAAGGCAAACTAATTTCCTCTTACCTCAAGCAAAAGGTCATTCAAGTTTTGGCGGCTTCTCAGGAGATGCACAGCTGATTCCCTTAATTTTTGTTCCCTTTCAGGATTATATTTTTGCCTCTTGACCCTTCCATCTAAGGGGGAAAATCAGTTTCAAAAAATTATAGTACTATTTAAGTAAGACATCGTGATGTCTTATCCTCCTAACCTGATGCACTGAATCTGTGGGATTCAATTTAGTCATGAGAAACCATCAGACACACCCAATTAAGGGACATTCTATCAAATAAGAAACCATCACTCCTCTAAAGCAGCGGTCCCCAGTCCTTTTGGCATTAGGGACCAGCTTTGTGGAAGACAGTTTTTTCTGGGGGGAAAGGAGAGGGATGGCTTCAAGCACATCATTTATTGTGCTTCATTTCTATTACTATTACATTGTAATATATAATGAAATACATAGCATCGCCGGGCTCGGTGGCTCAGCCTGTAATCCCACGCCTTGGGAGGCTGAGGTGAGTGGAT